CATGTGGTCCTTGGCCTTTGCCCTGCTGACGTTGGCCCTAAAAGTTGAGTCATGAGAAACATCCAGAACGTCTCAGAGGGGGAAATTCAACGGTCGTCTAAGGGCAAGCATTCCACTCATTCTATCAGTGACATTCTGATACTCGACAACGGTCGCCAGGGTCGCATCGCTGAAAGATTTACATTTCTCCCCTGACATAACAGAGCGATATGATAACATTCATATCCTCGCTTCGGCGACAGGCAAAGCAAGGACAAAAGACTCCCACTCCGAACTCCTGCTCCTATTCTTATTATGACATACAAAAAGTCTGGGGTTGATGTCTGGTCTGCAGTGAGCCGCATGCTTTGCTCCCTGACGTCGTTCCTTGTGTGAGAGTCTCGAGTTTGATCAGCAACTCACATCAACTCAAGCGAGACGAATTTGGTCTGATAAACTCGCCAAGGACTTGACCTATCATTTACAAAACCTCCGTTGACCCTTCGCTTGCAGTACATCCCTTGCGTCGGAGTTGAAGTTTTCAACGCCGACACGTTTTTTAGAGACATTCTTAAGCAGGGACCACATGGTGTCTCCAGTATTCAACAACGGTTCTGCAATATTTTCCTTTTTTAATTGCTTTCTCGCCTCCCTCGACGTCTTTGGTGCTGGTCTGGCCTGGAGCGTTGCATCGTGCCTTGTCTTGCCTGCTTGCTGACTAGGCAGATCTGACATATCACATTCAACGTGCATTCCCCCGCATTCTTTGTGTCTTTTACAACAAGGGTTGTTAATCTTCGGCTGGAGCAAATTTGCATGAGGAGCAGGAGGGAGCTTGTCAGCGTCAGGGCCCGTGGTGCCACGCTGCCATCTACTGCAGGTTCTACTACAACGAGCAAGGATATGTGCTCTTCTGGCCATTGCTGTACAGTTACGTAGGGGCAAGGCACAGTCAGTTGGTTACACCCTCTAACTCTTTCAAGCGAAAGGGTCTTGTCCAAGGGGGAGGGAAAGAAAACGGGATTGGATATTCGCATATTGGCCACCCAATCTCTTGACAAACAAAAGCATTTTTACATCGCAGGGCATATTACCGGGCTCCCAGGCTGTTAAGTCTGTGCGATGCCAGGCCAGGACAGGTGTCTCCCCAAGGTCCGAGGCAAAATGCAAAATGGCAAATTCCTACAGCATCAAGTTGCTGCAGCTGCATGTTTTTGGACAAAAATGTAAGCTCGCCTTCGTGGCTTATCAAGGGGTCTTGGGTTGCCGTGTAATCCCCGTTCCTGCGCTGAGTGGTCAATTGGGGGCATGGGGTTACACTTTAAGTCTGGGCCGTCATGAAGCATTGCATCTGCATTTCAAGGGACAGGATAATGAGAAGGAGGATAGGAACATAATCGACAGGCCTGCGTCGGGACCATCGAAGATCCGCTTCGGCCGCCCTCACTTCGAGGCACAGCGGGTGCTGGCGGCTCAAATGGGACAGACACAGACTCTGAGCTGTACGTACAGTATGTACGAAAAGTCAGCCCTAGAAAGAACTTGACTTGTCAGGTTGTACAACAAACATGAGCCTTTACTCGTTCTAGGGAGAGACAGAAACAGGCGTGTGTGGCAAGACTCAGGCAGCCTCAGCTCAACTGGTGATTGATTGCGAGGGGGCGAATCGAAATTTGCATACCGTTGCATCGCAGCCGCCCAAGAAGTTTTCTTTTCTTTGTGGTGTTGTCCATCTTGAGATTTAATCCCCATTTGCAGACTCTGCCAGCTGAGATCGCCACGAGGTCGCATTTTATTGTACGCAACAATTTTACAAAGCCAACCAATCACGTTTGAGCAACCCCAGACTTGTGCTGTGCCCCTAGACGTGGGGAACTCCAATGTTTGTTAAATGTTGGAGAGACAGAAAGGAGGAGAAGGGCGCTGAGAAAGGAAAAAGAGACTGGTCGTGTTGCTTTGCATGATATTAACTGCGGCGGGGGGGGGGTTCCGTGCCGTCCTGCACCTGTGTCTCTAGCGGCAGAGTTGCGGCTGGCTACAGTACGAAATGAAATGTTGGATGGCCATTGCTCAACATCATTCTCGACTTTACCTGTCATATTGTTCTGTCTTTGACCCTTACTATGAGTGGCATGATGCTTAACCAGAAGAGGCCGTCACGGCGTGTCATGTTGCACCAAGCGAGCTTCAGTCTTGGCGGACCCCTCTCGCTCTCTCTCTCTCTCACTTCTCACAGACGACACTAGCAGTCTCGCTAGGCGTTTAACCCCGTCGTTCTCAACCTCGCTTCGTGGTTTGACTAATTACCCCGGATTTCTCCAGGCTCGGACTCGGCATCGTCGGTGGCTTCACAGGAGCTAGCGGCTACGCCGTGAAAAGGATGACAAACCTTCTATCGTATTGCGTTGGACTGTTTCTCTGTTCTTTGTTTGTTACAGCAAGCGCTCGCACTAGATATGGTGTGATTGTTACAGTACCATAGTCGTGGAAACAAACCTTCCCGAGCCGTACCTCTGGGGCCGTTAGTTGAAGGTCTGTATTCAACATCAGCCACCAACTGGCAAACACGACGCTTCTGCGTGTGTTGGTGGCAGTGTTGTCATGAAGATCCGAGGGCTTGGGCCAGGCTCTCTGACGACATCTTCTTTGAGGCTCCTGTACGTTATGGGATCGTCTTGCATGAGGGAGATTATCACCAGCCATGTCTATGCCTGTTTGCATGCTGGCTTGTTTAGTCGAAACGCAGCTATCCCTGGTCCGTAAGATACAGCAGATAGCTCAGCTTTGGTCAGAGTTAGCTTGGTGATAGGGAATATTGATGCTGAATCATTATCGAATACCAGGTCACACCCCCTCTCCCGTGACCTCGATCAACGTTGCTATCTTCCACGTTTCCCGTTAGTTCAGTGTTTCTCGTGTGATAACGACGAGTCTTGTCTATTTGCATTCTAGCGCACAAATGCTAGGAGGGAATGCTGCACAGAACAACTCTGCTGCAATCAAAGAGGGGAAATATTGCGGAGGTGGCGCCTGAGTTGGATGATGTCTTGTTCTTGTGCCGTGCCATGTGACGCATTTGATAAGGTGGCATTTCGATTGGTTCTTCTGCAGGAACTTTGAGACCCTTGCGTTTTGAAATGACATGCTTCACTGAGAGACAGACAGGAAAAAGGGCGCGTCTGGACACAGTGAGGGGAAGTGGTGGGTGTGGTGACCTCTCACGGGACCATAGTGATGATCTCGAATGAGAGGGTTCGTTGCGTGGGGGGAATAGAGAGATGGCGATCGACGAGACTATGGTCTAGGGTAGTGATAACGGACATGATGCTCCATATTGAATCAGTCTAGCAACACATCAATGAACCACTTGATGCAGTGAATAGTTACAAGATGGTGTATAATGAACTTCAGTATGACTAGAACTGACTCGTTAAAATGAGCCTTTTTTGTGACAATGTGGTCATTGTACATTGATTGCAGTTGACTGACCACCTGGCAAAATGCAAACCTCACCTCATCCTTACTATCTCACTCATTCGGATAACTTCCATTCATAATTCTGATACATCATCAGAAACATAACAACCACTCGCAATGGGTTATATCATGCCATTTACCCAAAGCTACCCCTCCTATCATGCACTTACCTGTCCTTCTGCTTGTTAGTAGTTTAGTGATATGTGTGCCCTGTGCCTAAATCGAAACGTTGATGCTGCTACCCGAGACCTGCACCTTGATACCGATTAAGCGTCTATATGTAAACTCCCGCACCGGTCCGGGTGCTCGCATTGCACCGAGATGGGTGACTACACAACGGGATGTCATATGGTATTTGGGTGAATATGGTGGTAGACCGAGAGGGTCTCTGTAGTGTTGATGGACCTTGATAGCAAGAACCTTGATGTAAAGCTGAAAGGCAAGTGATTGTTTTGACGGAGACAGTCTAAGAATAGGGATTTTTGATATCCATATCGTATTCCAAAACAGTTGCTGACCTGGCCGGGAGATGGTCACCGAGCATGAGTCCACGTGTAGCGTATGCCCTTGGTCCCTGACCCAGTTATTGCTCTTCACATGATGGGAAGACGAAATACCTGGAAGCGAAGCGTATTATGAATAAGTGGAAATCCAAGTTTTTGCTCCAAGGAAGATAGTATGTATCCTGATCACCCTGTTCATGAAAATGGACTGGTTAAGACTCCCGATATGCCAGAAAGGTAGACCGTTCCAGCCATACTGACCACCATGACATGAGGTGCTTCCTTTCCTGTTACAGATGCGCATAGACAGATAGGTTGGGCCTAAGTACTGAAGTCAGGGCAGAGGCTCTGAATTCTTAGGCCCAGTATTCACAAGTTGACATTGTGAAGTGAAGGTTATAAATCAGTTATTTTCTTCTGCTATCCACAAGAGTATCGTTCTGATCTCGAGATCAGAATCAATCTCAATACCAGTCACTGCTTCAAAAGAACGATCTATGTCTCCTGTTTACTTATGCAAAATACGAGCGACCAAGGTAAGTCTCAGGGGTTAGCATGGCACTTTCACATTCACATTGTTGTTTGACTCGGTAGATAGCACCAACATAAGCCATGAATGCCGCAATACTTGATATTGAGATGCCTGGGATATAGATGCCAATGCTCGTGTTCAAATTATTCTTTTTCTAAAAGTCATCGGACTGGCGGCGTCTTGTCAACCAAACGGAAACCGGTCAATAAAGCACAGATGGCATGTGTTGAGTCAACAGGAGACACACACAAGACAGTAGGACATAATGGTGACGATTTAAAACAGCAAGATGGCATTGCGCTGCACCAGAAACGTATGATCATAATCTGTACCAATACTTCCACAACCTCCTTAAGACAAAGAAAAGGTATGAACCAGAAACAAAGAAAGCATCCCTGAGCATCGCTTCAAACGGGTATAACCATCGTAGGTACTGGGAAGAGTCCACATAGATGTATCCTGAAGACATATCCGCCCCTTCCCGAACCTTTAGTTCAAGAAGAAGAGAGTCTGGTATGAATGATGGACAAAAGCTCACATTCAAACAATCAACTGCCATCAGCTCACAGTTGCCCTTTCGCAAGGCATAGTAGGAATACATGTGAGAATATGTGGCATTATGCCATATGCTGTGCTCAAGTCTCTATCAGTGTTACTTTGCTGTGAAGCCCTGACTACGGTGCTGCATATGAAGATCGTAGACTATCTCGAATACTTGACTGAGGCTCAACGAGGATATAACTGCCTTTCACATACGCATAATCGACCTTGTATTTTGTATTTTATCTTATCTCCTTGACTTACGATCAACTGAACGAAACCTTTACCTTTTTGTCTAAAGTCCTCCATCTATGGTGCAAGATAGGTCGCTTAAGCGCGCTTGATCATGGCCTCACGGTCAGGACCAGTGCTGATCCACTTGATCTGGTACATACTAGTAAAAGTCTATGAGTTGTAATACATAAGCGAAGCTTACCTTGACTCCAACAAACTTCTCAATGTACTGTAGCGACCGTTAGCACGATGTAGCTGTATTTTTGCACATGTATTACCTCAACGGATTCACGAGCTTGCTTAGGAAGATCATAGAAGGTCCTTGCTCCGTTTGTCGGCTTCTGCCATCCCGGCATCTCGTGATAGACAACCTCAGCTCGGGCTAGCATATCGAGATCGGCAGGGTAATGTTCCAGCTCGATGCCATCAACCTTGTAAGCGATCGCGACCTTGATAGTCTCGAAAGTGTCCAGAACATCGAGCTTCGTGAGGTTCAGAGAGGTGTAGTAGTTGATCGAAGTGCTGTACTTGACAACGACAAGATCGAGCCATTCACATCTGTGTCTTCGGCCAATCTCCTGGAGCTTAGTTCCGATATCTCCAGTACCTTCTGTCTTGAAAGCTCCCTGTCCGACACGGGTCGTATAGGCCCTCACTACCCTGATCGTCTCCGTGATGTTCTTGGGGTTCAAGGTGAGACCGCTGATGATGCCACCCAGTGTTGTGTTGGACGAGGTGACGAATGGATACGAGCCATAGTTGACGTCGAGCATGAGTGCGTTCGCCTCTTCCACGATGATGTTCTTGTTGCTCTCCTGGGCCGACTGCATGAATGAGACGCCATCGACAGCGTGCTTTTCTAGTTTTTCTCGATACTCGCTGAAACGGGCAAGTTCCCCCTCGACGTCATACTCGAAAAGATCTCCAAAGCGTTTTAGGTAGCCGGATTCGAGACGACGAAGCTTCTCTCGAATACTTCTGGGTTGAAGACGTCAACCAGACGGACACCCTCGCGCTATACGGAGTTTAGCAAAGCTTCCGAAAGAATCAAGCACGAATGACTGCTTACCGCCGCGGCATTGCTGTAAGTAGGGCCAATGCCTAAAGCAATGTTATTAAGAAAGATTCGGTATAGGAATGACTGGTGACGTGCCGCGACCGGTGGTGCCGATTTTGTTGTCTAGAGTTTATCAGATATGCGCATGGCTCGAAAGGGATCACTGGAACAAACCTCCGAGCTTCCTTTCCTCCAGTCCATCAACGGCAATGTGCATTTGCAGAATAATGTGAACTCGGTCCGAGACCAAGATTCGATCGTGAACCGAGGGAAGACCCTCTGGATAATTCAGTCAGCTCTCTTCCACTAAAAGATGATTAGGTATCTTCGATCCGACTTACTGGCCTCTAGCTCATCAAGTTCCTTGAAGAAACTTGGCCTAAAGATGAAGTCAATATCTCTATAGTTGTATATGAGGCGTAGTGGCGCAGATCATGTCGCGATTTACCACCTGACAGAATCATAGTACGTACACATGGAAGACGACACCTGAACCGATCTAAATAATGAGTCTTCATGTATAATTAGCTTGAGCGAAGCAACTCACGAAGTTCATGCATTGAGGGTTGATCAGTCCAGAGGGAAGCAGGTGAAAGCTATAAAAACGTGAGAGTTATTGCAACCACGTTGCCTGTTCGTGCCCACCTATATGAAACTCCATTGGCACTATGGAGCACCAGTTAGTCCTTCACCCTCAAGGGTCAATTGCCATGAATTGAAAGCATTCGACTAACACTATACTGACCAGCATTGTGACCTCCAGCAGCTCGCGCGCAGAGTTGAGCTTCGGGAGCGAGGATGTCGGTCAGCTTTCCTTTCTGGAGCCATCATAAGTCGTTAGAAGTCAGTTCTATATGGGCTTTATATACCTAGACACGGGCTAGGTGGTTGCGCCGGGTTCGACTCGAAAGGGTAGACATACGCCCTCATCTCCTAAATATCATTACAAGTTAGCATCAAAGTTGACGTTGACCTCACCACGTCGAATGCCTGATATTGACAAGGCACAGCGAGGCGGGATAAATGGATAGTATAGGGATTAACCCACCCTATTGGGAGCCTAGAATCACTGTGATAGCCATGTTGCGATGGTTCCGGCTTGAACACGATATTCGTCTTTGCTGTTACCGCGGGGGCATTACGCGGGGCAATTACGCGGAGCAGAAACATCGTCGCGGGGCACCGCAGATAACCAGAAAAAAAGTTATGATGAGTTAGCAGCGAAACCGGGCATGTGAATCATTAATGCATTGACAGCAAGCTTCCTACTGGATGGCAGAAAACTTAAGATTTCGAACCTAAGTGACTAAAATACTTAGACAGTTTTATGAGAAAACTAGTAGAGCTTTTGGTTAGTTTATTTTCGGTACCCGATTCGGAGTCTTGAGTCCTTTGGCACCCTAAAACATCCCCGACAACTCTCCACTTATATCACTCCTTGGTATGGAACCTTTATGATTCGTCACACATCGAGAATACCTAGCATAGTTGCTACCGTAAGGCGATCTTCATAAAAGCTCTACAGACGAACCCTTATCACGCCTTAAAATCCAAGAAGAGGTGCCCTGGTGGTCGCTGGTCCTACGAACTCTTGTACTTTGGCTTGCTATGGCTATTGCTTTCGTATGACATGAGGAGCCTTAGCCCTAGGGAATTGACGGCATACCAAGAGAACAAGACGAGATTCGGAGTCTATGGAAGCTCAAGTGGGGCTTGGTGATCACCAGTTTCCTCCAAGAGTCTGCTCATGACGAGGTAAAAGCCTCATACCATGATCTGACTCATGCCATGAACATGATGTTATTACTCCGAATGAGTATGGTTATGGAGATATAGGGTTCTTCAAGTCGGAAACACGAAAGACGTTAAGCCACCTCCGGAGACCTTGAGTTATGCATATGGTATATGGCAAGGTACAAGAATGTATTCAAATGTTCCGTTCTACGCTTTGGTTCAGGCCTGTGACCTATGATCCAACAGGGTTTAAAGATTAAATAGCCATCAAGAGGACATTGAGCACTATAAATAGTTTAATACTTATAGAAGGCCTTCATAACATATGACTATTGGAATTTCCTTTGTGTGATTCATTGAGGGAGGGTCTTGACTTATGGATGCTCGATATGATGCGCTGCACACAAGGTGTCTCTGATTTTACTTCCCAACCATAATACTGGATCTCTGTAGAGTATCTTTTTGAGGTAGAGAAAATTCATATTTACTGAGGTTATCTGAGATACCTTACCTCCTATGAGGTAGTACCTAAGCTTAACATTGAAGTGTTGAGTTATTTTTCGAGGGCGAATGCTGATTGGCTGAGGAACATCGGTGTCAAGAAACCAACTTTCATACACGAAATAAAACCCACCGAGGTGAAAAGGCGAACAAGTACCTATAAGTAAACTTCAAGGTAGTCTTGATTGTCTCTGTTAGTGTTGGGTTAGTAGGTTGTCAGTGGGTGGTCAGGACAGAAAGTACCAAGTTTGAGACGTCACGTGCTCACGTGTCACTAACGTTCACAGCTTGTCTCTTCCATTGTTTCCCTTTCGGCCAATTCATATTCATTTTAGCCGCACAGAGGCACAGTCAAGTGATTTCCTTCCTCAACCACTCTTCTAAAGGTCGCCTGCTCGCGTCTATCTTCACCTGGAAGATGCACGACTCGCCACGATGACAGACTCGCAGATGCTTGCTCAGGCAGGCAGCAATGAGACGCAGGATAGCCAGCCCATTTTTGAGGCCTACAGGGCCGAGTTTGGTGTCGGCACGGTACGTAGCCAGTGTAGCTGAAATGCCTCTGCACTGGGGTTTGCGTTCTCACAATCAAGATGCACTAACACTTACATGCCCTAAACAGCTCAGTAGTTCACCTCCCAAATACGTTACATCTTCGAAAATAAGCACGACAAGCCCGAAACAGATTCCTTCACCTGCGAGTGAAGTAGTTGTACCATCATCCGACCCAACAGTCATCGATTTAGTAGCACCAGCGACTTCTGTTCATCACGACGCGTTATCGGACAAAGCGCGTCCAGGGGGACCCGCTACTGAGAATGACGATCCGTCGCACTGGGACACGACCAGGGTGGCACTGACACACTCGAAAAAGCAATGTGCAACTCTCGAGGTAGACGTGCTAAATGGTGTTGCCCAGGGCCTCGAAGATCGCGTCAATTCGACCAGCAACGTGAATCTGAACGTTTGCATGCCAAATACATTTGTTAAGTCAAAAGACCTTGCCAACCTGTCCGCGCGCCATGAAAGCCCGCAGCCGCAACCAGTGCAAGACAATGCACCCAAGCCTCTAATCAAGTGTCTCAAGCCGCCGGCCAGTGCTGTAACTGCCGCCTTGCGCAAGATGGACTATTCTCAACAGACCCCAACGCAGGTTAACGATGATCGTGATTACAGTGAATACTGTGATATTGTACCTTCGAGCCCTGTCAATGGCGATACTCAGTCCGGCTCTCACGAACCTCGAACCCTTCAAGATGGTGATACAGGAGCCGTGAACTTTGCGAATATGAGCGAGCTGGGCCGGCCTTCGTCTCAAATATCAGAGGATGCAGGTTTCAACAATACTAGAGGTGACTGGAGACATCCTGATGAGACCTCACAATTGAATAACGGCCAAACCCCGCACCGTCCTCACGCTCCTACCTTCGAGACGCCTGCTGTACCCAAGAACCCATTCGCTACGAGACCCAGCATTGCCGCACCTCTGGCCGGAAGCCAATTGTTCGGCCAGACGCAGTTTTCTTCGGCCATAAAACATATCAGCCCAACATCTTCACGACCTTCTCCGAAACTCTTCAATTATATTTCACCAAACATCATTGAAACATCTCCTTTGAAGAACCGTGCCAATGTTTCGTCACCATCCGATATCCGAACCTCAAGTCCTCAACGTCTTCTCCATGATATCCCCGAAACTTCATTGCAAGATCTAGATGAGGGACCTATTAGAGCGGCTACACCTGCGAATGATCTATCTACAGGTGGTGAAATGATTCCAGAATCACCCCCATCCTCTGATCCCACCCCTCGAGCCCAAGCACCTAGATCATCGAACATCACTGAGCCAATGGCACATTACGAGCCAATGAAGAAGTCTCAGGAAAGGAAGAGTATGGAAAACTTCGTGATTCCTACCTTGGATTCCGATGATGATTCTGACGATACCATCCGACGGCTGGAGAGACGAAAGAAGATTGAGCGGAAAAAGGCCCAGGCTGCAGAGGAAATGGGCCGCGTTAGCTTCACACCCAAGGTTAGGCGCAATTCAGCAGAACAGCCATCGAGGAAGAAGAGAAGGATTTTGCCGCCTGGGGAGCCCGAAACAGCCCATAAGCCTTCCCCTAAGACCGACAGGGGCAAGGGGCAAGAACTGCCACCTCTCGTGGATGACTCCCAAAAGGGCTTGGTGGCTTCTAATGAGACTCTCCCCATTACATCAACTAAGGCCACCCCAGGAAACAGTACCCCTGATAATCCACAGATCGATCATGATGGAGACATAGTCTTGGTGGATGCAGACAAGATAGTGGTAGACGATGACATGATACCTGCAACCAGTCCAGCGCCTTCTCTCCCACCTACGGCACCCGTTGAACAACCGCCATCATCTGAGCCTGAGCTACCAAAGCTCCGCGTCGAAGATGAAGAATTGCCACAACGCCCTGATGACCATTCGGAACCTTCATCTTTGCCACCAGCACGGAAGCGGACGACTAGGACTTACGGTCGTGCAGCTCGGCAAAAGCGCAGGAACCCATTTCTCAGTTCCTCTTTCTCGGATGGGCTGATAAGTGATTTGGACCCAAAACCTACGTCTATATCATCGCCCTTGCAAAATGTGGCCGCAGTTTCAATGATTGAAGAAGAGCCAGACGAGGAATTGCCTCTGCCTCATACAACAGCAGACAAGATCGAGAAGAAGTCAGCATCGCGGTCCAGGAAATCTGCCCGTGATGTCTATGCGGATCTTCCCCCACCTATGACTACTCGCTCGCGTAGGAGCGATCGAGCGGAGACAACCCCGGTGACCCCGTTGGCCAGTCGCTCTGTAGGCCAGATGCCACCGACATCTTCGAGTTTGAGTATCCTCTCAACAACACCCCTGCCTTCCGCCAAAACAACACCCGGAACACAAGACTCACCCGGTTCTGAACGGCCGGAATCAGTCACTCTCCCATCACCGAGAGGCAGTCGAGTTTTTCATAAGCAGGAAGCTCGAAAAGGATCCAAGTCAGAGTCACCTCAACCAGCAAAAAGAACAGCAAGAGTATCCAAGCGGTTTTCATATCTTGATTCAGATTCTACCGATGAGTTGCACCACTCGCCAGCTGCAAGTGTGCTTGAAAGGAGCATGGTACATTCCAAATGTAGCAGATCCTTTAAGCAAAGCTTTGCTCAGTTACACAGGGTAGGACGACTGTTTGAGGGCATGGTGTTTGCCATCTCTTTCTCAGACCAGTTCAAAGCACAAGAACGGAAGAAGATAGCGACGAAAATCACACAGTCAGGAGGTATCATTCTTGCTGAAGGATTCCAAGACATGTTTGAACATTCATCCATTATGAATGCGACTGATCCCGTGATGGATGAGCAGGACTCATTAAAACTCACCAAGCTGGTTTCTGAGAGCGGGTTCACAGCACTCATCGCAGACAAACACTCACGCAAGGTCAAGTATATGCAGGCTCTAGCGCTAGGGCTTCCCTGCCTGGCCCCTCAATGGATAACAACTTGTTTCAACAAAGGCGTTACTGTAGATTGGGAACCCTATATTCTTTGCGCAGGCGCATCTACTGTGCTTGGCAATGCAATCCGGTCGAGAATATTGGCACCGTATTCGGCGACTGAAGCAAGACTGGCCGAGGTCATCCAGCAGCGACCACGACTCCTTGACGGACAACGTGTACTAGTTGTCATCGACTCAAAGAAGTCTCGCAATGAGGCTAAAGAGCCTTACATCTTCCTTGCGACTGTGCTAGGGCCATCAATTTCACGAGTGTTCTCAACACAACAAGCAAGGGAATTGTTGTTAGAGCATCAGAAAGCGGGAACTCCGTTTGACTGGTTATATTTGGATAAAGGAACTGGGACCGTTGACGCAGTTCTTGCGCCCACGGAAACAACAGGTAATAAGAAACGTCGGAAATCAACCGCAACTCAGCCCAAGATCGAGAATATTCGTGTCTTGAGCGACGAGCTTGTTATCCAGAGTTTGATTCTCGGGCGTATGGTGGAAGAAGATGAAATGTATACATAATCATGGTTCCGGTTTTTTTTTTAGAGGGCGTTTGAGGACTATTACTATCTTGGGAAATCATGTCGATCACTTAGACTGATGCATTGGATGGCGTTGCAAGGAGACGGGAAGACCTAGGAAGTAATGGCATGGATAGCTACTGCTGGTATCAACGGTACTGCACTGTACTGTAGCTAGTAGGTACAGGACCCATGGAGTTTATACCAAGTTGTTTTTAAAATTTCGGTGCGTGTGTTGTTGAGTGATATGAGGTAAAACAAAGCAGCTGGTTACATCATACTGTCGTTATTCACCCGGGGATGTCCACTAGACGGGGCAGATATTCAAGGATTGTCCTTTGCATCCACTATAATAGCAAAGTCTGATGAGATTTCCAAGGAAATTTGGGCATTGAGTTTGAGTAGGCCGGATAGTGAAAGAGTAAAAAGATGGAAGCTCAAGGAATTGCAAGCAAGTAATCTACAATGAGACATGTCTTAGAGTGAATGTGTACAGTGTCACAGTATCAAAAAGATGGATCATGCAGGGATCAACGTTCTTCAAGGGTATCTATTTGTAGGGGTCTGGAGGAGACAGAATCAACTTGAACCAAGTAAGAGAAAATGGAGAGCTAAGAATAGGAAGGTACGCGTCGTGAGTTTCCCATCCATACCTATCTCGACCCCGCGGTCGCTTCCACCTTCAACAGCCAAAGGAACATCGGTTCACCATTTTTCTTCCCCTTCCATCGCCACCATGAATGGAGTTTCAGCAAACACATAATTAGAATCTCGACCGTTCGAGACCTTATACATTTACCGATAATCGGAGCATGGCCAATCAGTTGCGACAACGGTACTTGTTAGCGGTAAATCAACTCGACGAGTTCTCTTATTATTCATTCATGAACTAACTCATCGATGTAATGGTGCAGGATTCGGGTGATACCACATATGGCTTGGAGATTTCTACTCGTGAAGAAACACAGCAGGCAATCGACTTATTCGCAGCGAATCTAGAGGGATTTGAAGACATATTTTGCCCTGTTGCTCGCAGCTGCGCAACCTCAACCTCGTCCAACTTGCGATTGCCACCCAAGATCGAGACCACATTCCTTGACTGGGGACTGAACTTTTCGCTCGCAAAAACTTTTGAATCGTTTTACCTTTATCTCAGCGAATTTCCTCAAAGCTGGGCGGTTTGGTGTAACACAAGCCAGGAGCTAAGGATAAGGCTCCACGATGGCATCATGTTCACCTAAACAGGTCTCAGAACCAGCTCGCGAGAGAGAATCCTTCAAGTCTGTCGCTCCTTTTTCATAGTCACAGAAGCGAATTTCACATGTTTATTTGATCACTAACAAAGTTAGGTATGGAGCGTCGTTGCTCAACGATATTACTGACTCGCCTACCGAAGGCTCGCCTCCTGGTCACCCCTCAGCCAACGGAACTGCGCCCAGCGACGAAACAAAACGGCAAGAAACTCCGAGGGACACTGTTCTTGCATCCCTTGCGCAACTCGGACTCTGGAAAACAGGGACTGACCGCGCCCTAATATCTCTATTCGATCGTAATCACCAATACATTGTCGCCGAGACTACACAACGATCATCTCTCGCCAAGGGTCCGATCCGGCCAAAAGACAGCAATGGAGACTTCTGGCTGTATCCAGGGACATTTACACGACAGCTCTCGGTTTGCGACCGGGCTCTTATGGCGCAAAGCCACGACTCTTCTTCCTCTGATAAGGAATTACCCCTTACTCTGATACCGGATCTCAAAGCCGATGCCAGACTCTGCAAGATACCACACCCGTTATCAGAATTCCCTGCTCGGTTTTATGCAGCTGTGCCTGTACGATCACCTACTGGCGTTGACATTGGTGTTTATTGTGTGTTAGACCCCGAGCCGAGAGAAGCCAAGAGCTGGACCAGCAATGACACTGAGGTCTTACGAGAAATCTCCTTTAACATTATGGACTACCTTAGATCCAAGAGTGTGGGAGACGCTTATCGAAGAAGCGTTCGTATGACAAGGGGAATCGGTTCGTTTGTCGAGAAGGAGTCCTCCATGGCGGGTTGGAGAGCTCGAACTAATTCTCCAGCCTTCCACGACGATGCGACAAGGGAAGGCAATTTGAATTCTGAACAGCAGGCTCTACAGCAGTTCAGGGATATCAGCCTTCAGAAAACATTGCCGGTTCACGTTCCAATTCAGCCCAATACGACAGGAGAAACCACCGCTATCAGCTCTGGGGGTCCCGGGGAGGCGAATATGACCAGCACTTCATCGGAGAGTATGTCTGTCCGAGAATCCAATGATAATGCCAAGGAGAAGGCCATTGCCAAGATATTCTCTCGGGCAGCCAATCTCATACGTGAAGGAATAGAGATTGAAGGCGTCGTCTTCCTAGACGCGAATTTCGAGACGTCGGCTACCGATTCAATGCTTCATGAGGGCCAATCTTCGACCGAGTCATCATCATCGAGTAGCGATGAGTCAATCGATCAGTCTGAACAGGAAAAATCTTGTTGTGGAATTCTGGGTTTCGCTACTTCCACTTCGTCAAGCATTAACTTGGACACAGGTTCCGATATCCACACAACCATGCCAATGAAGTTGCTAGCAGCGCTCTTACGGCGGTATCCTGCTGGTAAAATCTTTAATTTCGATGAGGATGGTGGCCTCCTGTCAAGTGGTTCGTCTGAGGCCGACCTTTGTACACCGATGCCGAAGCAAGAATATTTTGGCGAAGGATCAACTGCGACGCTGTCTGGTAAAAATCAGCGTCCTTGGTCGCGATCTCTAGAGGGACCGTCTGTTTCCAAGATCTTCCCTGGTGCTCGAAGCGTGGCCTTCGTGCCTGTTTGGGATCCTAAAAGAGACCGTTGGTTAGCCGGAGGTTTCGCTTATACTCGGACACCTACGAGAACATTCACGATAGAGGGCGAGTTGAGTTACCTGCGAGGGTTTGGAATGCTGGCCATGTCGGAAGCCCAACGACTCGAAGCCTTACTTGTGAACAAGGCACAATCCGATGTGCTTGGCTCATTATCTCACGAACTGCGGACTCCTCTTCACGGAATCATGCTCTCAGCCGAGCTGTTGGCCGATGCTCAACTGGATGTTTTCCAGGGAAACCTACTGCGAACCCTTGAAACATGTGGTCGAACACTATCCGAGACTATTGATCATCTTTTATATTTCTCAAAGGTCAATCAGGTTGCAGTTCATCGAAAGAAGGAGCGCCGAGCTCGAAAACGATCTGTTGTTTCAGACTCTGCCACCACAGTTCCCGCGAGTGTTTCGACCTCTGAGGTTAGGCTGGACGCTCTGATTGAGGAGGTCATGGACAGTGTTTTCGCCGGCCATGTTTTCAAGGGCAACGAAGCCCATAAGGCTTGGCAAACCGCTAATCGAAGCAAAGGCGTGGATACGGAAAAGGAGAATGATCCAACAGGCGGTCAGTCTGAAGATCCCGTCAAGTACGAAGTACCGCTTGGGCACGACAGTCAGGTAGCCATCTTTCTTGATATCGACCCTTATGTGCCGTATCGCTTCCATGTTGCCGCTGGAGCACTCCGACGTGTTGTGATGAACCTTTTTGGAAATGCACTCAAATACACACACAAGGGCACAATCACGGTTGCCCTGTCTCAAAAGCCTCTGTCCTCAAACAACCCCAGCAGTAACAGACGGTTGGTCCGCATTTCAGTCACAGACACTGGTCAAGGAATATCCCCAGACTTTCTTCGCAACGATCTCTTCAAACCATTCTCTCAGGAAAACCATCTTTCACAAGGTACCGGGTTGGGCCTGAGTCTAGTCAAGAAGATCGTGGCATCCATGAGCGGCAAGATATCGATCGAGAGTGAAGTCAACGTGGGGACCATAGCAACTGTAACATTGCCACTGTCACGATCGAAAGACTCAGACGATTTAAATCGGGGTTTAGAGAAGAACGAAGTTGATGAAGAGGCAAAGCGCCTGAAAGGGCTGCGTCTGCGACTGGTCGGTTTCCCTTCTGAGGAGGAAATCAAGTCGAATACGGGTCAGGGCATTCCCATGTCTGCTATGAAGATAATGTGTCATCGATGGTTGGAGATGGATGTTATCAAGGAAGCTGCATGTCAGGACGTGGCTCCAGATCTTGTGCTGTGCAACGAGATAGCGATCAACGATCCAGTTCTGAGCAGCGAAGAGCTCGTCAGGTGTCCCGTGGTTGTGGTGTGCGCCAATGCCATTACGGCACATAAGCGATCTTCCGAGAGCAAGGTATCCGAGGGCCAGCGAGTTTATGAATTTGTTTCCCAGCCGTAAGTGTGTGAGAAGCCTGCCGATGTCTTAGCCTGCTAACTTGCATTTTCAGTATTGGTCCTCACAAACTTGCTAGAATTCTTCATATAGCGGTATGTCGGTGGGGAGACTTACAAGCGTTGTCACCGGCTGCGCCAGTAGTTGAAGATGAAGAGCATCTGGATTATGCATCCGATGATGCCAAAAGGTGCTCGACTGGAAGCAATACAGGAGGAGATGCTCCTGATGATAAATCGACACTATCGGGTCCAGGGGCGGCGTCATCGAAACGCCCTGGACCCCCACCACAAGTTCCGTCAAAACGCCCTTCCCCAGAGACGCAACAAAAGGGGTCAACTGCGGCCAGCGAACTCAAGAGTTTCCTCCTTGTTGATGATAATCCCATCAACCTCTCGGTGTTGTGCGCCTACATGAAGAAGCTCAAGAGCAAGTACACTACAGCAGCAGACGGACTTGAAGCTGTGGAACGATTCCAGGAGAACCCAAATCAGTTCAGTTGCATCCTGATGGATATCAGTATGCCGCGAATGGACGGAATTGAGGCCACAAAACAGATACGGGCTCTTGAAAACAGGGAAGGTCGGGAGCCGGTAGTAATCCTTGCTCTGACGGGTCTAGCATCAGCGAGTGCCCAGCAAGATGCTTATGCAAGTGGTGTTGATGTGTTTCTATCTAAGCCCGTTAAGCTCAAGGAGCTGAGCAGCATATTGAGGGAGAGAAGTTTGGTTTAGATAGCAAGTCAGCTATCAAACAAAGAAACAGAAGGTGAGAGCTGCACGATGTGAACGAAGCATACGACATAGATAGACGGGTTTTTATTATTATTATTAGACGTTTCATCAGGGGATTAAGCGCTGGGTGCAACCTGTTAAGGGTGGAATAGATTAATAGAAGAAAAGAAGTCACGTATATATGTTACATTCACCAGATTTAGTACCCAACTATGCAACCTTTTCATCAATAATATTTACGTACCATCGGTAATGGTGCCAACTCGTACAAGTCATCTTGCAGAACACTAGGAAGATCATGCTCTTCATATAACTAAGTCAACACGTAATGTTCAAGCATATGGTATGCATATCTGTTTCATTACTACCTAAGTATGGCGAAAATGAAAACATTATGCAATTAATAAGCAATTACGAGAAGCAAAAAATGATAGGTGACTACATTTGTCGGATGTCTCGGAGTGCTTTACGTGATGATGTGAAGCTCGGGTTTTTGGTGATGGCCGAGCGCATGTGTTTGGGTTTTTTTGTCACACACAGAATGCCGTTGGGTCATAAGGCTTGTCACTTGGGCTCCACCAAGTAACATTATTGGCTCGAATCGTTGGTTTTCAAGTTCAAGTATTGTATGTTTTATTGATATGCGAGTTCTCAGATGTGGGATATTGACCATGTTCGATACACCAGGGAACTTATACGTAGTACCAAACGCTTCTCCAGCGGCAGAGTTACTGCAGTATATCTCTGACTTCTCACTACTCCATCGAAACGTGATATATCTGAATTATGTGACAGTATCGACGCTACCCAAGACGGGAACCGGCAATAACAACATGCCTTACAAGAATTTTAGCATTGACTAACTTAGCGCTCGCGGAATCTTAGTTTATTATGCTAGAACCATGACGTAAAATGCCGGCATCGAAGAGACGTGTATGGTTTCAATGGCATGTGTTGTAGCCATAAATATAGTGCCGTTTGGCTTACCATGAACTTGGCAATAAATAAGCATGCAGCTATGGTGAGAAAGCTTCAAGGGATGGAATCTAAATGAGGAAGCGTCCGAAGCCTACGCGTATTGATGCCAGGCAACTTGCCGTGTAAAGGTGAAGCCACCGATATTAGGTCTGGGCAACAGTTAGAGATCTTGGCATACATGAGGCCAAGCTATGGCCTTGAGACAAATTGATCATCTCATGATAAGACGATCTTGTAGGTTATGTACGATTGATTATGCGCAAACTCAAAACAAATAAGCTTCAGATCCTTCAGTCAGTGAGTGTGTTGTTGTTTTTACAGCCAATATCATATTGTCTGTGACATCCGGAAGATCCGGAGGTCAAAAGTCGGAGGTCGGAAGCACGAGACGGAACTTTCATCACATGTAGACGGGGTTAAGACGCTACCGTGCTTCCGTGGATGATATAATCTCCTATTATCCTTGGGATCGGACTTTTGCAGAACCCCAGATCATGATCGGTTGCCGCGGAATAGAGTTCAAGTCAGGGGCTTTGAGACGGTAATGAGAAAGGGAGTTTCTATGGGCATCTGTCGAATGATGGTGGTTGATGGGCACGGGCAAACAACACCATCATCAGGTCCATGTACGTCAGTGAATTGTTTACCCTTGGAAGCTGAGTCTGCCCCTGTTTGAGAAGAGTCAAGAGAGACAGAAGGTGGAGAGATGTTGTAGATTAAGTATCCTCTCTTACGAGAATGATGCCATGTTCACCTCGACGTGAGATAAGCTCACAGCTTCATCAGTCTGCTTATAGTTATTTTGTCCACGGCTAACAAGACACTTCACTTTCTATGACTGGCCCATTTATCATACTCATGGCATTGTCAGCAGTGTAAAGTTGGTAGCGGACGATCCATTCTAACAAGATCCTTGTCTAGCTCGGCTCAGGCTCTTCTTCTTTTTCTTTCTGCGTGCACCTGTAGCCCTGTAATTGGTCCAGTGACTCCCCTACAAGCCGGCATCCGGCAGCAGGGCGGGGGTTAGAAGCTTGGGTCCCAGGGTATTCCCTGTTTGTGGCTTGTCTTAGTGCTCCCGGTCGACTTAGACATGTCGTGTGCCCTCAGACTGTCATTAACTCCGGGTATAGGCAACGAAAATACTGGCCCAATACCATGAATTACCTATCATCGATCACAGATCAGAAACTGCCAAGCTGAATTGTTCTGATCTGAGCTTAGCTGAGCCTTGTACCTATGTAGCAGCCAATATCAATATCTATCACCCGACCGTTCCGTCCACCATCTGTTGCATCAAAACCCGCCTCTTCCCCAACTACAACGAACTTGTTGTATTTCCTCTTCTCCCTATTATTCAGACGAATCGCATTGCATTGTATACACTATACACTATACCCTTTTGCATCTTTTATTTTCTTTTTCTTTTCGTTTTTGTATTTACTTGGCAGTTGATACCACTATACCTTGGCTTACACCTTTCCCAGGCTGTACCTATCAGTTACATCTAGGACCTCATCAACACCGACAAGCCTCATACTTCATCGCCACCCGAAACCCAACTCAATACTTGGCCGTTGAAACCTTATTCACCATGGGAGTCGGTTCCTTTCTTGAGCCACTCATCGTCGTGACTCTCCTCTTTGGGGGTGCCTACTTCAACAGAAGTAAGGACTATAATTTCTGGACAAATAAGTCAGGAATCGCCAGCATCAAGAGCTATAAGCGCTCTGATGACTTACCGAAGCGAGACTCGACCGATAGTCTTATGAGCGGATGGAGTGGTTCGCGATCACCCAGTCTCGACTCAAGTTCTCAGCCCACCCTGCGCCGTCGCAAGCTTCAAGTGTTTGGCTATAAGCGCATCGTTTCTACACCAAACACTCACATATTCGAGGACCGCCTGCTGAGTCGTCTTCTCAAGAAGTTGCCATTCTTGGTCGAGTGTTGGTACTGGTTTCTCATCTACTTTGTGTACCAGGTCGGTCGTGCTATCACTGCGTTGACACTCGATGAGGGCACAGTCGATGTCGCTCGCAGACATGCTCTTCAAATCATCCACCTCGAACAAAGGCTTCATATCTTCTGGGAAATCGACTTTCAGAAGTGGTTCCTCGCTCGGCCTACTCTTCTTCACTGGATCAACCGAATCTACTCATTCATCCATATCCCTGGTACCATTACCTTCCTTGTTGTCCTCTACTACTTCACCACTACTCGACATCGCCGTTATGCAGCTGGTCGTGTGAGATCTGATACGGTGGCTGCTGGCCCTGCTCTCTACGAGGCCCGTCGACGTACCATGGCTATGTGCAATCTCATCGCTTTTGTTGTCTTCACCAGCTGGCCTTGCATGCCTCCTCGCCTTTTGAGTGATCCAGAATACAAGGGCCCTGATGCTGAAGAGGCCAGGAGCTTTGGATTTGTCGATAGTGTTCATAGCGGCACTGGAGAAAGCAGTGTCTGGACCACCAACCGATTCTGCAACCAATATGGTAAGTGAAAGTCACATATACTTTGACCTTATACAGGGCTAACTAATATTATAGCTGCCATGCCATCTCTGCATTTTGGTTACTCTCTCCTCGTCGGTCTTACCGTGGCCACTATTCCTATCACAGGCCTAAGATCTACCTCCTGGAAGCGGATAATCATCGTTGCTGCGGGCGTGTCATACCCAGCCTTGATTCTCACTGCTATTGTCGCCACAGCCAACCACTTCATCCTCGATGCCGTAGCCGGTGCTATGGTCTGCGCTATTGCCTGGAACTGCAACGACTTCCTCCTCAACTTTTGCATCCTTGAGGACTACTTCCTATCCATGCTTCGCCTTCACAAGCCAGTGAACTGGACCGACCCTGAGACAGCTGTCGAGCCTGAGTTCCAGACTGGTCTCCTGAGTGAAGATGTCTGAGCATTTAAAGGAGGTTTCGAAAACGAGCCCCACGAATTTTCTTTTTAAATACCCGACTCCGTTAATCCATTTGATTCAAGAGGGTGAGCCTTTGTCTTATTTGCATAAGTCGTTTAAGCTTTTTAAAACATCCACAAGGCCTTCCATGTCTGGACAGGAACGACTTACGTGGGCGTAGTGTTAAGTTTGGCGACGGTGGCATGTTGTTAATTTGAAGGAGTCGGGCCATTCATGCCCTGAGCAGGGGGGGAAGTTTAGACATGCACAGAAAGGGGTTCAGTATACCACACCATACGATCAGGTAAATAAGCTGATACCAAGAATACTCAAAACGAATATTATACTCTGTATCTTGAATTGAGACTGGCTGCCGACACATTCCGATGTAGTTAATATGCCCTGAGTTTAATGCTTGTGGGTGTTGATGGAACAGAATGAAAGTTAAACCACCTAGACTCTTGGACGAATGACAATTAAACTTCTACACTGTTCCCACCCTTAGAAGACATATGGAGGCAAGAAACCTCAGGACTTCTATCCTAAATGACAAAAAGACTTAGGTAAATTTAGTATAGCTTTAGTAGGCGTTTAGACTATTTATTTTTGGCACCTTGATTCACTGTCAGAAATTCCATTGCTCCCTGGGGAAGGGTTAAGTCGGAACTCATGATGAGAAATGAGAAACAAAACCCTTATAGAGTTTGTCCTAAACTTATCATCAGCATGATCCTCTCGACAAGGATCATGGTAGCGAGACTTGCCGTGAATTCTCTATGGATTTCTTATGGCATCTTCTTCTATGGTGGCCTCTTGTAAGATTGTATGAATGTCCTAGGTAGTCATTTACGTGGTTAAGGCAGATTTACGTATTTGCAGTACGTGGTCATTGAATTAATTCAAAGCTATTCCATGCCTCATGCTCGTGACGACGCAAGCTGAACTTCATCTCCCACCAATAAACTGCTGTCATGATACTTTTCTGCTAAGCCTTGTGAGCAGGGGTACATGTGTCTCTGCTAAAACTGCACCATTTGACAGCAGATACAGCCACGAGTTCAGGTACCTCTACTAAGATGGGGCGGGGAGCTTCTGTGGCGGGGCACGTCGTCATCTGTGAGCCGTTTGGGCAAGAGACAGACAGCTGCCTTTCGCTTGCTTGCGTTTACTCACATGCCACCACTTGAACTATTCTTTATCTTTCTTTTTTATCGTTACCATTTATATACTGTCTCTTTCATGCTAAAAATCTGACTGTGACTTCGAATAACAAAACAAACCTAGAAAAGAGGCTATTCAAGACGCCAACTGAGAGCGACAGCTCTACTACTTCTTCCCATGTCGCAGCAGGATTCTGGGGCAGCTGATGCCCCGCCACAGCAGCCTTCGCGACGATCTGCGTCACCATCGAACAGTTTCTATGCGCTGAGCGATGATGAGGAGGGCGAGTACAACACGATTAGAAACGATGAGACTGGGAGAGGTGTGAAGCTTCTCTTTTCCAAGAGCAAGGTGAGCAACACCCAAGCCTATGTCCTACGCAAGATGTTGCGCTGCAGAGTGAGGACGACATCTGACAATCGCAGGTTTACGTTCATCCGACACCCTCTTCAAAGGACAACATTCCAGGCTATATTGCACTTCTCCAGCAACGAGGTCACCACGACGAGCGCCCTTCTTCATCTGCTTCCAATGAGTCCACAAAAATCGCTTCCTCAGATCTACTTCTCGCTTGGATTCCCGAATCTTCGCTTGGCGATTCCGCTAGCATCTACGTCAAGGTTGACCTTTGCGACGGCGACTCACCACCGAAGCAGTCTTATCTTGTCCCTCCCCCTCCGACCGTTACGAGCCATGTTGGATCTGTCGGTGGGTATGCGTTTGCGATCCCCGTGAGCGCCGTCTACTCGCTCCTTGTTCGGCCTCCGAGCCTCGGCTGGTGGTATGGATCCGTCATCATCAACTCCCGTGCGGGCGACAGCTTTCCCGCCCTCTTCTTCCATGACAATGAGTGCCAAAGTACGATTCTTCAAAAGAAGAAGATCGCACGTGATACGTTTGATCCTTTTGGAGAATCAGGACAGATGTTCTGGGGTGGCGATGAGGTTGTGAAGTGGCTACGCCGTTATGTCAAGATTGAACGATCTGGCGCTGAACCCAACATTTACTTGATTGAGCCATCAAAGGAGGACAGTGAAGCATTTGGCCACAAACTCACTTCCAGCCCTTCGCAAATTGGTCGTCAGGATAGCAATGTGGGAGCGCAGCGCGGCGCTGCAGGACCGTCAAATCGAGATGCAGAGATGGATCCTTTCGTCAAGTTGATTAAGGAAACTGGATGGAATATTATGGAGAAATTCAGCAAAGTAACCACCTTTACGCGGAGAGCGGCTCAAGATATTGTCGAGAACCCCAACTTACCGCCACAAGTGAGACGGCTCCTGAGAAATCCGGAAGTTCAGACTCTCCAGGACGAGTTTGACAGCGCTAGGATCTATCTGGCTCGCTGGGCTATGGGCATTCAGGAGCAGAGCGATCGCGATCGGAGACAGAGAATATGGTCTGCTAATGATGTTATGGAGCTTGAGGATACCGACGTTGGCGAATTTGAGCTTCTTGAAGGAGCTAGTAACCTTTCACTTGAGGAACGCCGAAAGGCAGTGACAATGAAGGAGTGGAAGACCTTCTTTGACCCTCAAACTGGCCGATTATCTATCACTATCGATGAGGTCAAGGAGCGTATCTTTCACGGAGGTCTTGATCCTGAGGACGGTGTTCGAAAGGAAGCATGGCTTTTCCTTCTTGGTGTCTATGAATGGTACAGCACTGCCGATGAGAGAAAGGCACAAATCGCCTCACTACGCGACCAGTACTACAAGCTCAAGCTTTCGTGGTGGGAGAGGCTAGAAGGTGATGGAGGCGAGGGCGAGACTGGAGAGTGGTGGCGCGAGCAAAAGGGACGAATCGGTAAGTTGCTCACCATCTCTCAACCTTTCTCTCCCGAGGAGTATACTTACATTTTGTCTACAGAAAAGGACGTCCACCGAACGGACCGTAATGTACCCATTTTCATGGGCGAGGATATCCCTCATCCTGACCCAAGCTCACCTTTTGCCGAAGTTGGCACCAACGTCCACCTTGAGCAGATGAAGGAGATGCTCCTGACTTACAACGAGTACAACAAGGATCTAGGCTATGTTCAGGGTATGTCAGATCTATTGGCACCAATCTACGCTGTGATTCAGGACGACGCCGTTGCATTCTGGGGTTTCCAGAAGTTCATGGAGCGTATGGAACGCAACTTTCTGCGTGATCAGTCTGGCATGCGCAACCAGCTTCTGACTCTGGACCAACTTGTTCAGTTCATGGACCCAGCACTTTGGAACCATCTACAAAAGGCAGACAGCACCAACTTTTTCTTCTTCTTCCGCATGATACTTGTTTGGTATAAGCGAGAGTTTGCTTGGCTTGATGTTCTTCGATTATGGGAGGGCTTGTGGACTGATTATATGAGCGCGAACTTCCATCTCTTCATCGCGTTGGCAATTCTTGAGAGACACCGCGATGTTATTATGGAGCACTTGCAACATTTCGATGAGGTGCTCAAATATGGTAAGTGATTTGGTCATCAAGTACACTGATCGTATGCTAATATTACATAGTCAATGAACTCTCCAACACAATCGATCTTGAGGCGACTCTGATCCGGGCAGAAACTCTCTTCAAAAGATTTCAGCGACTTGTTGATGCTGTCGACAAGAAGCAGAACTTCCCAGCTCCCCGGTTCAATCAGAAGGAATCATCAAAATCTTCTGAGCAGACCGAATCAAGGCCATCCAAGGATGGTAAGACACCTGGCAAGGGCAAAGTTGCTGAGCCAGCGGCACCTCCGCCGCAGCCAAAGACGATTACACCTGAGTTGCGCAAACTATTGAGCAAGGAGGTAGAAGTGCTTCCAAGGAAAACGGTTGCGCAAAAGGGCGACGGCATGCCAAACAAATGAGGACATGAGAGCAAGTAGTTGGGATTCTGTTGGTTATCGACTGCTGCATGTATTTTTATGCTTTATGGGGTTTCTTGGTTCCAGTAATTTTTGGCACGGAGTTAATGGTATGACGGCAAGTTAGCAATGTTTCCATTTATATAAGACGCCCTTTATTACCATATGGTGTGAATACACAAGATGCTTCATGTCATGATTCATTGGTACAGGACATAATATCTAGTAAACAAAAGTCCGTATTACCAGGTAAAACGCCGTTCTATCCTATCAAGAAACGTAAACGCCAGACATCCAACGTATCCTTCACTTCTTCTTAGAAGAACGAGCTTTATCTGTACCCTCTTGGTCCACTGGGCAAGCCTCCTCTCCTCAATCCAGCATTGCCGCCACCACTTGCTTGATCATACATTCCGCCAGGCGCAAATCGATCTTCGTAGCCGCCGCCGCCGCCACCACCTCCATTATTTCCACCGGGAGGGTTGAAAGGCCCTTGGCTTCCAGCCTGAGGACTCGTTGTGCGCGATCCACCTCCCCAAAGCCTCTGTCGCAATCTATCCTGCGCAGATCCTCCGCCTCCACCTCCCGAAGCACCCCCAGGTGGCACGCTCGCCGTTTCGGGCCTACCGAATTGACCGCCTGTGCTCTGGTAGCTCCCCGCGCGCTGCTGACTCGGCAGTGGTCTCCTATTAATATCACCACCACCACCAGGTTGCAACGATGCAGGTGTTCGTCCGCCTCCAGCCCGAAGACTCTGAGGCGCTTGTTGTTGTGGCTGTTGGGGTCCGTTGTCCCATAGACTGCTGAGACCACCGTGTTGCTGACCTTGAGCACCGAGGCGCTGGCCGGTTTGTGGTGTCATGACGGGCTGTATAGGTTGTTGGGCCGCAGCCTTGGGATCCGGAGGCAGCCATGGAGGAAACGGGCGTCCCTTTTCTGTGTAGTAGCCTCGGAGGACACGGCAGACGTGAGTATCGTCTTCGGTGTCGCCGTCTTGTTCACCGGAGAGGAGATTCTGGCGGAGGGAGGAGATTTGAGACGATGTCTTCTGAACGAGGTTGGAGTACCAGGACGCCATGATGTGTTGTCTTATATTATTTCTTTTGTGGCCAATACGTTCGTAGAGTTTCGCATCGATGACTGTTCAGATGGTCTGAAGTTGCGCGTGCCTTGCGATGGGCTCGCTTGATGTAGGTTGAGGGGGCGGTATCAAAGCCCAGAGAATGACTTGAGCAGTAACTGAACGTCTGGGGGCGAGCGCGATGCACTGTAGCTGTCGTAGTTGATTAAGCGGTGCAGCCAGCTGCTGTCGTGGTAAACAAGAGGTATAAGAGTTATATTATCAGTGTCAAAAAGGTCAGAGCTGGCCTGTTTGAAGAGAGATGGAAGATGGGGGTGAAGCAGTGACGTTTAAAGGGATTCTTGGCCGTGGAAGTGGGCTGGGGAGTTTCATAGGTGCCTGAACTAAAATGCGCTGTAGATTTGGGCGGGGCATTGCAAGGTAAGCGGGTAGGACTTGAGAGTGGAGCAAAGTCTGCATGAAGCTTGTCTCAACAGAGCCTCTCATTATGATAGGACGCATCTACGTGTAAGAGCAAACATTCAAATAAAACAAATTCGAATTAAAATAAAAACAGCGACAGTCTATTTGGTATCCGTGCATTACCAAGCAAGTAAGCTCAGAAAAAATGAAGCATATTGCTGTGAATATCCTCAGATAGAGGAACACATTGATGTATGCATTTTCACCCTTCGTAACCCCTTTTTCCACCTTCCAAAAAGCTAACTCCTCAAACGCCGAGGCTTGATTCTTGAGGCCGTCAATTACCACGTGAGATCGTTGGTGAGCATCAGCTTCTCCTTCTCCTCCTGTCTGGGCTTCTTGTTCTTCATCTTGATAGCACGTCCACGCTTTCGCTTATTGCCAGACTTCTCGGTCTCGGACTCTTCGCTGTCATCACCGTCCTCATCTTCATCCTCCTCGTCGTTGTCGCTGTCGAGCCAGTCCTCAAGGTCGCCGAGCTCCTCCTCACTCTCTTCAATGTCAGAAACGTACTCAACCTGGTTCTCCAGGTTGTCGTCTTCCTCCTCACTCCATTCGACCTCCTCGCCGTTCTCGTCAAGACCCTTGTCCATGTCCTTGTCACGGTGGCCCTCGCCATCACGCTCCATGGCGTTGAGAACCTTCTTCCAGATGGTCTCGCTGACATTGAGGGGCTGGTCACCGTAAGCACCCTGTCGAAGACGCTCAACAAGCTCGCGCTCAATGGTTCGTTCCAGCTTAGCAGCAGCCTCGGCCTTGCGCTCGCGAGCCTGCTCACGGTGTCTGATCTTGGGCGCCATCTTAGGTACAAGCTTTTCACCCAAGCGTTCCTCCTCGGCGGCAATACGGCGCATGCGAGTTTGAACTTGTGTCAAGCGGGTGAGACGTTGTTTGCACTTGTGAATGAGAAAACTGGGCCAATATATAAGCTTCTCGTCTATAGTAGACAAAGCCTTGGAGTAGTTGTTCGGTAGTTTGTAACGTTGCCACTACCACTATCGTCAGTCCCTTCTCACCTCATAAAACGACATGAATTCTTACAAGTTTGCTTGGGAGGTGGCTCCTTTCTGGCGTTTTGACCAGCAAGAAAAGCTTGCCAGCGTCTTCCCTGACCGTAGCGTATCGCGCGTTTGCGAGAGGACATGATTGACGGTTACAGAGGCCTGTAACATTGTACTCATTACGGCAAAATGTCTGAGCTTTGCTTGTTCTGGATAGAAGTTAGCATATCTCATCTTGTACCAAGTGGTGCAAAGCGAGAAGGGGTGAGGAGTAGGGGAAGCAGCAAACTGACTTGATCTTAAAAGCGCAGAAGGATTGGCCAATTATCTGCCATATCACCTCGTCCGACGTGGAGCCACTCATGACGATAGTGGGAGGCTGGTTTTGGAGTTGTGTTTGGTGTTGGTGTTGTGTCTTGTCTGTCTACCGACCAAACGGGGTATGACAACACTTTAGGATATGAGGACAGGAATAACGCCTAAGTAACGAGATCTATGTTCAATAAGCTGCGTAATAGCTGACTCGGGGTTTGCTGGCGAGCTTGTTGAGGTCGTGCCGTGTCGAGAGATGAGGGTATAGAGAAAGTCTCAGCAAAATGTGGTTGGTAGACAGGCCGCTGAGATGAATTCTCGGGTCGCCTCACAGAGCAAGAACTATTGCAGCTCTGTCGACAATCTGGCGTCTATCCTGGTCCAGGATCTTTTTGTTGATTCTGGAGGTGGTGATATGTGGTTTGCGATTGCGATGAGCGAGGTAGAGGGATCTTGGAGTTTTTTGGTTTTTTTTTACTCGACTGCGCTAAGATAAGAAGGCGACCCACAAGCCCACCTGGAGATCCATCACAGACAGCCACTTGCAGCGCTCCATTTTCAATGCCCACTTCGGCACGGGAAATAGTACCTCCGAATGGCTGACATCGGTGCTCTTTGGTGAACCTGGAAACGAATACGTACCAGGTTGACAGCTGGGATAGCATCACCTTGAACTTGGCCTACTGTAGCCGCGTAACACACACAACGTCAACGAATTTCCCCTCCGGTCGCGTCCCAACACAACCAGTCGCTTCATCGTCTACGACTCGATCTTCCCTCTATACCCGATCAAATCTCCTTCATCTCCCCACGAAGGGCTTACGTCGCCGACATCGCCGCATAACTCGTCCTCTCAAGTTCCATAAACACCATCGCCCAAGATGCCGACCGCCGGCCTCAAGACCATCATCGCCCTCTCCTTCGTCCTCGCCGTTGGATTCCTCCTCGTTATCCTCTCCTGCGCTCTGTGGAAGGTGTATTATCCTCTCCTCGTCGTCGCCACCTATGTCATTGCGCCTATTCCCAACTGGATCTGTGGACACTGCGCCAACCCGGATGACTTCGTGGAGAGCTCGGGCGCTGCGGTTCTAGACCTTGGACGCTTCTTTACAGGTTTCTTTGTTGTTATGGGAATTGGTAAGTCCTGCTCAGCCGGCGCAACGCTGCTGATGCCAATGGAATGATTAATGTGCTGGAACTCACGTGGCTGACTGTTACATAGCTCTTCCTGTCGTTCTCGCTCACTCTGGTCTCATCGAGGTGCAAGCCATGGTCATGTCCATAATCGGCGGTCTATTGATCTACGGAACCATTGTCAGCTTCGGCATGTTTTTCCACGAGGAGCAAGATTTCTAAATGCGCGCGCAAGATCGAGTCGCATGAACCAGAAACACTCAGAGTTGTCTAAACAAAGACGGATACAGAATGTTGCGTTCCAGGAAGAGGAGGATAATCGCTACCATAAAGCCTGTATAACGCGTGTATGATCACAGGACAAAGGAGTCACATGGGCATTCAGCGGGGTCTCAACGTCAGTCTCAGCTATTCGCAAAGAGAATACTTGGGTTTCGGGACGGCAAAGGGAGGATATAGTCGGTCGTCAAAGGTATCCTTGTTTATGAGGAATATATCGTATCATCTTCTGCTATGTTCCGGATGTTTTGGTCCTATCCCATCCGTCTATGTTGTTGAATTCCAAATCAAAAACTCCGACGATGTGTACGTTGAGGTATCATGTCCAAAGTCAAATGCTGCGCCTGTCCATCCATCCATCCAATCCAATTTGGCCTCTTCTTTGAGATCCATGTTAAGCCGCGTCTCTAAAGACGCCCATAGGACCGGCAAGTTTGGTAAACATCTCGTCCCTTTCACCTTCAGGGGTACTCAGAATCGTTACCGCACCTCCAGCTCCAATTCTCCAAACTTCTCTGGGTTCTGTCTCGCCCTCTTCAGCTGGAGCCACCTCATCGTCCCATCGAAACATGGTTCGGATTGTGACACTCCAGTCTCCTGCACCCGCGACATCCATGTATCCCACAACACCAGAGTAGAGACTTCGCTCATGTTGGCCCTCAATGATCTGTAGAAGCTCACAGCTGCGCTTTTTCGGCGCCCCTGTCATACTGCCAGGAGGTAAAGCCGCAGCAAGGGCATCCAAACCGGTATAAGGGCAGTGAGAGTCAAAGCTGCTTCGGCGTGCGCCATGAGGCTTATGTCCATTGCGGCCCGGGAGCTGCCCGTTGACCACAGTGATCATTTGGAAGACAGTGGCATATTCTTCCACCTTCATGAGGTCAGGAACTGTAACATGGCCAACACCACAGACACCATGTAAGTCATGTCGGACAAGATCAACAATCATGAGGTTCTCAGCCACCTCCTTGGGCACATGAAGGATCTTCTCAGCTTGTGTGAGGGTTGACACAGCCTCTGACTTGCGAACGGTTCCCTTCATGGGTCTCATTGAGCATAGTCCGTTGGTGTCGTATCGAAGGAAACGCTCAGGAGAGCAACTCAACATTGTGGCACCACCAAGACGGATGAAAGATCCAAAGGGAGCCGGCTGTCGCTTTCTCAAGGTCTGATATATAGTCCAGGGACTTCTCTTATTGTTTCTTGATCGAGACCTTGCCATGGTCGTTTGTGATGTGAGGCAAAGTTCGTAAGACTCTCCCGCTGCAATGAAATCCTGGCAAACACGGACTTGCTCCTCATATCTGTCTGGCTGTGGTGTTGTGATATTGATTTCCTTATTCTGGACATGGTTTCCGTTGACGTGTCCATTAACTCCGTTGCTCGTCTTGATCGCGTTCCAATAGTCGGACTGTTGAATTCTTTCCGTCATTTTATCAAGCCATGAATCGTTTGATCCTCGAGCCTTCAGGTTTTGAACATATGCAACGCCAGCTCTGTGATCTAGAACAATGCTCTTGGTTACCCAAGCTAGACAAATGTCCGGTCTCTTGTGGCCCCTATCTTCCGGTACCATCTTCTTCTCAAGACCGTGTAGTCCCATCTCGTAGGTGATGAATCCCATGAAGCCGCCCTTGAAAGCTGAATTTGATCGGTCAGATCCAGGAGGGTGGCTTCGTGTCTCCCAAAAGTCTGAGATGACCTCCCATACATTGATTGTGCCGTTTTCGAGGCTGATGATCTCAGTTTTTTCGTTGCCGTCTGTACCCGGGAGTCGTACTGTAACAAAGTCGTCACAGACATTGTACTCAATCCGCAATGCATTTTCAACTTCAAGAGCCACGATACTATTCAATGCCAGCGCATCTCCGTTCCTAGAACTCGATGAGTCAAGAATTACAGTCTCTCCCTTTTCCAGCCCCAGCATCTCCACGAGTTCTGGCACGCCAGCCCCCTGAGGCAGGGTGATTGTGCGATATGTGTATTCCGATCCCTTCGCAAAGTCTCTCAATGAAGTTTCTGATGAGCTTGAAGTCGACCACCAATCACCCAAGTGTTCCTTATGTGCAGCTGCAGACTCCAGATGATTCGGCGGCGAAAGAGTCTGAATTTCCAGTAAAGGTCCCTGTACTCGTCGTCCATGGTATTTATTCCATTGCAGCGCAGCTTGGAACCAGTTGATGAGGACTCCCCGCGCATTCTTCTCCGTGCAGACAGACTCAGGGTGGTATTGAAGGCCCCAGAATGGCTTCTTGTTGTGCCTCACTCCTTGGAGGATCTGTTCCCTTCGTCCATCCTCTCTGAATTCTGTTGCCCACGCTAATGGTGAAAACTCCGAGGTCGGCCTCCACCGGTTCTCTTCTGCCCAGTCGTCGCCGTATTGGCCGATATCAACACAAAGACTGTGATATAGAGTAGCCTTGAAGGGAGGTACTCCGCAGAAGATGTCTTCTCCGCGATGCTCAATCTCCCTCACCATTCCATGAAGACCCCTCTTGAGTCGTCTCACTGACCCGCCATGCGCAGCAAGCAAACTCTGAAATCCAAGACAAATACCCAAAACTGGCAGCTGAAGATGCTCAGGGAGATCCCAAAGAAGATTGAACGCCCCAACGTCTTCTGAATTAAGCGGTGATCCAGGGCCAGGGCCGCAAACTACGGCGTCGAATTGAGCAAGATTATCGATAAACTCTTGCTCTGTCCATTTTGTGGGCGCATCATCGTCGCTGACCTTGTCGACCACTGAGAGGTCGATTCTTATGACGAAGATATCAGCGCCGAGAATAGTTCGGAGAAGAGAGACGATGTTATTGGTGAAGGAGTCATAGGCGTCAATAAAAAGAATCCGCTTCGGCGCTCTAACCGAGGGTTCTGAGCCTGTGGTCATATTCCAATATTATCTCAAAAGTATTAGGAGAGTTCGATTGAGGGAAAAGATCCCAAACTGAAGTCTGAGCAGATGAAAATAAATTCCGATAAGCTTCGTCTTCGGCGTCCGATGTAAAAATCCAAAATCTTTGCCGCTACAAGCCGGAGCTGACTCGGGATATGAGCCGTTGAGTTAAAGCCACACTGCACGGCACATGCGGACGTTGATTATCAGGTGATCGGACAAACCAGAGAGTAAAGAGTACATCAAAGTTTAACTCGTTGATGTGAAATTTAGGGCATTTTCTCGTTGTCCAAAGTCTCAATACAAGACTAAAAAGTGGCGACAATGAATCGGATGCATGGAAGGGTACTTCTAGAATAGCGCTGCTGCAGGGTAATCATCAACAAAACATTCATCATGGATTCAAGACAGAACTCCTGGAGTTAAACAAGAGAGTCTGATAGTCCGCAACTTGTTGCTACTTCAATGTCTGAATCGACTTAAATAGATGCTCTTCATGTAAGCCACAGACAATTGTGACAGCACCACGGCCAGTTCAGGGGCTGTAGACCGCGGGAGAGAAGGTGGCAAGCTCGTGGACTGGAACGCTAATGTACGCGATGATGGCCTAGAGGCTGCCGAGAGGGTGGTGACATGGGCATGGCGGGCCTCGGAAGGCTCGTTGTCCTCACAAGAAGCCACTGTCTCGCCATGGTGTATTTGTTCGTGTATTGTCAATCCAAATAGACGACGATTGGGAGTAGTTGAAGTGGCTTCACGACTCATCGTGCTTGTTGGTCTCTCCTAACTGCAGCTCACCCACAACCGAGGCAGTGTGCAGGTAAGTTCATCATACGAGGCAGAATAAATCAAGACCTACTGGATTTGACCGCTGTTGCTACATGTGATGACTTGTCAGAATGATTTATGTTATATTTCCAAAAGGGACTTATTAAGGGACGTTTTGAAGTAATCCATGAAGATCTAGAAACTCGTTTTGTTGTGGCGATGATACATGTCAAAGGTCATTGGCCGCTCTCCTTGCTAATCGCTAAATATTTACATCGCGTCATAGTACAAATCTCCATTATTTAGTCGAGGCCGATGTATAGAGCCACAGATCCCTATCGCCGTCAAGGTCCCTCCTCATTCTCTCCACTAGCGATCCCTCGTCATTAATAGACAAGGTTGTCTCGCATGCCAGATCCTTCTCTCCTTGACTCCCAGAGCCGCGTCCATCATCGTTTGAGACTCAGATCTCGCTCTTGTAGGCTCAGCTCTAGGCTCATCCCAAACCTGCACCTCTTCTACTGATGCTGAGATTTCGAATTCTCCACGACAGAGTACTGTCATGCCTACTGAGATTTCTGCACTCCCGTGTCCTTCTAGAACGGGGATGAGCTGCTGTAGAGTACCGTTCCAAGCAAGCTTTCGTGTAAACTCTAGACCAACATTTGCAGGCCGATGGCGAAGTGCAGGAAGAATTCTGACGAGAGGATGGATTTTCTGAGCTGTCCGGTTCGTGAGGCGTACCCTGAGTTGCATAAACTCGTCGACGTACGCTACATCCTTTTCAGCTGCATTGCCATCCTTATCTTCGACCGAGATATCAATGTCAACCTCGTCAACCTTGATCGCTTCAATCATTCTCGAGGTCAGACGAATGCTTCTCAGATCGATCGAGCCACTCCTCTTAGGTAGTGATGTCGTCTTCCACGTTGCCCTGAGACAGTCAAGAACCCTCTCCCTATACCAAAACCCTTCTCGATTCGCTCGCTCCATTTCAGGTGAAATCTTGCTGGCGCTAACCACGAATTGTCGATTTCGCGAGGGGTTGAGGGTTGGTATTGTGGCATGAGGATCCTCCAGATACACCCTTTTGACTGGAAGAATGACACGGCTCGTATTTCCAGGCAAGATATCCTCTTGCACAGAAATTCCATCATTGCTCTCCAGTTGCACCATCATCTGGCTGGGCCAGGCGTTGCGAAGATCCACAGACAAGAGACAGTATTCATCAGGCTTGGCCGTAAAGGAACTGCCCAGGCGATCCCACAAGGGTTGAGGAATC